CGACCTTCCAATTTGATAATATAAATACCCAACGAAATTTTCAAGGTTTATTAAAACTTTTTTTTATTTTTCTATTATGGATTGAAATTGATTAGTTCGTTAAATGCTATTTAGGGGTGCGCTCAATTTGTCGATATCGCCGGTAAATTGCGCCAGGAGGTTGAAGTCATTAAATCCCGAATTTTGGAAAAAAAGTCTCCGCTCGACGAAAACTCGTTACAAACCCAAAATTTTAATAAAATTAAAACGCTTAATTCCAGTGTCGGCTTTTCTCCCTTGAATTTGCTACTCGCGGCTTACTTATAATTTCATTTCGTCCGCGGGGCATTTGACGGCAATAAATTGACTTTCAAACTACTAAATTATACTCGGAGGAGATACAGATCTGTAGCAAAACGCGTCGAAATTCCCGAGAGAAGTTTTTAAAAATCAACCTCAAGTGCGCCGGTGCTTATTACAATCAGTTTATCATTTTTCTTTTTATTGTTTATAGGCAATGTATCATTTTGCTCTTTTTATTTTAGCTAAACTATCTCGCTTTTCTCGTTCTCCTTGCGTTATTAAAAGTAGCCCGAAGGGGATTATTTCAGTTTATTGCCCGGAACGTTAATTTATTGTCCAGAGCAGAAATTCCAGTGCGACGTTGCCGATTTGTTCTTGTTTTCCCGACAATTCGACTATTTAGTCGGAAGCTTTTCGTTCTATTCCGGTACTTTAGTCACAGGTTGTCGTTTGATATTTTAGCGGCAGTCCTGATGATTCTGCATGTGTGCTGCATTCATCACGTTAAATATATATTTTTTAATTTGATAAATGTGTTTTTTTTTTAAATTGCAGTCTTACAAAAAGTATAGCATGCAACGCCTTTATAAAGTTCTTCACACACTTAATAATTAAAGTTTAATTGAACCCTCGATCTGCTTATGCATAAACAAATGCGTGACTTAAGTGTCGTTTTAGGTTTGAATAAATTACAAAAGTCTACAAAATTAAACTTTTTGACAGATGTTTTTATTTTGAGTACTGATTTTATTTAATTTTTGATATGCTGATTTTAAAAATTCTATGCATTTATTTGTATCACGATTTTTTTTTCATTCCATTTCCTTAATGTCCTGGTGAAGCCTCTCTCTCCGTTCTTCGCTAACTGTTCCAACATTTTCGGGAAAATAGTTTAAGCGTGAAAACTGCCAATGCATTTTCAAACTCATATTACAATATAGACGATGAAAGTGTTGTAACATATTTTGAACAATACTTTCGTAGTTTTTGTCTTTAGAGTTCTCAAGAAACTTATCAATTATCAATGAAACCCAGGCATTTTTCTCGACATTGGTCATTGTGTTTTCAAAATCCTGCGGCCCTGGCATCTAGTTCTTTTGAGGAGGGAGGTATCGGTACATCTGGGCCATGAGGAAGATTGGGATACACAAGTTTTTTTCTTATTTTTTTCTGTTTATCCTTAAACATCTCACGGGCAAAAGTAACAATCATCACTGTGATTACTAGACTGTCGCCATACCATAAGAACACCAAAGTTTAAACATTTCTTCCTACCTTCTGACCGGTTTCTTAATACTTCAACGCAAACGGAACAAACAGTATGGAGAGCCCAGGATTTGTCTTGGTCGCCATTTTTTACACCAAAATAAAAATGGTATACATTTTTCACAAAAGAAGTTATAGTTTGCCTTTTCTTTGCTACGTCATAACTACCACAGATATAACAAGATTGCTTTCGAAAAATCGTCGGTGAGTGGGGCAAGTTCGTCGCAAATAGCGCGAATCAGCTTTTTATTTTAAAAAGAAAGCGCTTCGCGGATCCTTGTAGGGACGGAATGTTTTTCGCAAAATCGATGTAATTTGATTGTGAATACACCCTGTATAAAGTGTCCTTTACTTCTCGTCGAACTTCAAATTTACGTCATACTTCGGTAAATATTAAAATTTGTACTGGTAATTGCAATTTAAAATTATATTTGTTCAAATATCTTGCGTCCCCTGTATTATAGACGAAACCTCAAACTCTCTCTCAACACAGTTTACGATAGCGTTCATATCAAATTATCACAAAAGCGGAAATTTCTAGGATCTATTCGAATTTTTTGCCCATAGCTCTGAATCTCCTTAGTTTCCTGGTATCCGAATTTTTCCAATGGAGTAAATGGTTTTCAAAAAACTACTTGCCATGCAGTTCGTGGTAATTGTAAATGACGCCATCGCGTCCAGATTGAGGGCGAGAAATGGTGATTTTCATTTGGATTTTTTCAAATATCTCGAATAGCGTATGTGATAGACGAAAACAGTAAATACAACAACTGTAGCCCTTGATACGCCCTGTAACACTATTTGAACGGATTAGCTATTTTTTGTACGAATTTACTTCCTCAAAGAACAATTTTTAGGGTCTTTTCGATTTTTGTCCATAACTAAAACGTGTATATAATCAAAAAAATGCGTCAAACAAAAGTTACAGCGTCGGTTCTCCCACGTATTACGGATGTAAAATTTTTCCGATCGGATGAATGGCTTTGGAGGAAAAGATGATTTTCTGGATGCCAAAACTACCACAAAAAAATTCAAAAATAAAAAAAAATACTTCGCGTTATTTTACTATTCCCAATTTAAAGAGTCTAAATGCGGGTCCAAACTTCTACTTCTCTCCCGAGTCTGAGGACGGTAGCTGCAAATTTGGAGTACTTATTATGTTTCTTAATATTGAACGGAATATCGCGAACACCCTGTACAATACTTAAAAACCGTAAATACAAAAGTTTAAGCTGTCTATCGTCATGTAAAAGAAACTGACATCTAAAACACGGATTTGAAATTATTGCCAATTTTCAATAATAGTTTCAGTTTTTTTGAATTTGCGGCGCACAATGTATATTCTTGAAAAACTGTCACGAATGGAAGTTTATAGAGCCGTATCTTCTGCTTCTGGTTCAAGAATTTTTTTGGTCTCGCAAACATTTTCTGGAAAATGATGTTTTTTGTACACCCTTAGAATACCAAAAGACGTGGACGGAGAACGGACAAACAGACAAAAAAAATATTTTTTTTCGACGGTGATCGTTTCTGTACCAACGGCGTTGGTGAAAAAGGTCCCCCAAAAAAATACAAATAAGCAAACAGCTTTCAAACATCAATATCGCTGTAGACTTGTATTATTAGTATTGGTAGATCTTCTATTATGTATGACAAAGTAAATATAATAGTAATTATCTCGGACTCATCTCAAACATGGAACTAGTCTTCATAACTTGAATTAATTCAATTAATTTATTTCTTAGATGCTCTAATTGTTTAGTTCTTGGAATGCATCTACCAAATATCCTTCCTACAGCTGGATTTCTCCGGGTTTTCCTTGTCTCCGATTCGGTGCGTGATCATCTTTATTAGGCAATATTGCACCATAATGTTTTTCGTGATCATCAGAGAGCATACTACTTTGAAGTACCACAGTCTGCCAGTATAACCACTTAAGAATCTATTTATAAAAAATACCACTTTTTTAAACCTATCAAAATGTCTCTCACAAATGGTCAAGTTAAGCATTAATAAATCTATTTCATGTAATCAAATATATCTGAAGATAAGTCTATACCAACTTGTTTAAATTAATCCGCTTGAGCCAACTGATAAACTGAAGCTATTTCCGAATTTTCATTTTCATTTTAAGTGTTCATTTTACTTTTACGATTCCTTTGTATAAGATTAAAACCATTAAGAGTAATAAACAACAGGTGTTTTACGAGTTAGTATCAGAACGAATTTATCATAAAGTGCAAAATCATAAATTATTAAGAATGATTGGTTCGAGTCATCTGTTGGAAGATTAACATCATTCTTATATGAATTTAAGCTCTAATTGTTCTAATTGGATTTGCGAAAGTTGGGTTAAGGTCGACGGAAAAGTAGGTAATGTCTTTAATTGGCTTTCAGTATTTCCTTAAGCAAGCAATATTTTTCATAATTTTTTATACGCGCGTTTGAAAAAGAAGGGAGTTTCCTGTTTTTATCAGGAACGAGTTTTTCCCTTAGAAATTTAACAAACTTGACGTTCCATTTGCAAAACTGCTTAAAAATCGTTAGCTAGCTGGCGAATATAATGGCAGTTCGTGTTTACTTCGAATGTTTGCGTAATCGCGGTTTATTAGGCCTGTAATTATATTGTTAAATATTTTTTGTGTTAATTGCTATTATACAACCGTAACATGGATGTAAAATCTGCGCACGTCCAGGGTTATTTGGAGTCACGTGACTGTTAATGATGGCCAAGTTTACACACAATAAAATAATGGGGACCCACGGACGAATGTTTCTTCCTTTTCAAAAAAATATGTGCCATAGACAAGAGTATTATGTACCATATGATCTTTGCTTGTGTCCAATGAACCAAAAACTATTGGTGATCATATTTAAAAAGTGATTCCATTTTAATTCATTTCAAATTATAAAAATTGTAAACGCTTGAACGTCCTGTAAAATATAACTCCAATTAAAATGTCAAAAAGATTTTTTTCTTTACTGAATAAGCCATCAAACTAACTAAAATTTATTCAGTTATAAAATAAAAATGAACAAAACAAACATCGATATGGTTTAGAAACTTGAATTTGATTTCACAAAATATTTTGATTGAAATTATTTTGAAATGCCATAAATACGCAAAACATCAAAATGCCTCGAAAATATAGTAATATCATGCATTCGCCCAAAGATATGAATTTTTCGAAGCCTGCTTTCACACCCTGCACAACGATGAACACGATGACTGAAGATCTCGAAAATAAATATCGTAATAGTCAGCCAAAATTACGCAACTGTCTGAGTATTCCGCTTTATCTGCCGTGCAGGTTATATTGAAAGTAATTGGTGATTTATGGCCTCGATTGGAATATTACTTCCTAATATCTTAGTTTTTAGCCTAGTTCTTGTGTTGCTAACGATAAGTACTTCAAACCCTGCGTGTTGAAAATAATGATTTTTCATTCCAGATCCAGAGGCGGAGGAGTTACAATGCTGCACATAACGGAAGATACTCCTCCTGACATGTTAGCTGGTGCTATGGACCTCACCGTCCACCTACCCAGCGGCAGATCTATCAAGATGTCAGTGGAAAGGAGGTTAGTTGAATCAGAATCAAGTGAGAACATCCCATATTAATATTTTCGTCTTGGTAGCACTCCGATGATGGACCTGTTGGTCCAAATTACCACCAACAATCAGCTCCAACTGTCCAACTACACACTCCAGGCTCTCGGTATGGCTCCGTCCGCCCAACACAGCGACAAAATTCTCCCCTTTAAGCCGAACACGCCCATAGGGGCATTAGATACGCAACACGTTCGAGTTCTACCGAAAGGTGCGTAGGATTACATTTGTAATTTCTCTATGTCGGGTCTGGCTAAATTTTGCAGGTAGATCTTTGCCTGCTCCCAAGTATGTTGCACCAGGTCATCAGCCTTTCGAGAGTACGTTTAGATTGAAGGTGCACTTACCTAGGAATCAACTGTACGTTACCCGAGTCAGTAGGAATGTTCTCTTGGAGGATATTATGAAGAAGGTATGCGAAGAAAAGAATCTGGATCCGATGAAGTACGAATTTAAGCATCCAGGTAATACCCGTTGTTTTATGGAGTGAATAATGTTGTACTAAAATTGACGGACTGTAGATGTAGGTCAGTTTTAACTGCGAAGATGTATGCAATAATTGAATATTTTTTTGGATGTTGGTAAAACCATAAATAATTTTGCCACCCCCTATTAAACAACATTTTCAACGAGTTACTCGTATTAATTAACAATCGCATGGTGCTGGTAAGAGTAGCGGAAACGAACAGAACAAGTTTTATTTACTTTTATTTTTATTTAGTTTTTTTCGTAAGATATACTTGATTATAAATTTTGAGGGGTTATTGGCAGGAAAAATTGTCAGAAAAAAAAATATTTCACCATTGTCAGTTTTGGTGAAACCTTAAAAAATTACTTTTTTTTAATATGAAAACCTGCAAAATCTGCTAGATTAATGAAACCTAGTCACTAACTACTTTTAAGCAATACGTACTTAGTACTTTTGCGCTTCCTAAATCTTACATTTTCATTTTATGCAACCGAGAGTATAATTTACAGAAATGTTATTTGCTAATTGCCCGTTTGTTAACTATTTCATATGAAGGTGCTTTAATAATAATGTTACCTAAAAGAAAAACATCCGCATACAATAATAATATAACAACGACAGTAATGGAGAATACCAAGAATTCTAAGGGTGACTTGGTTTTTGCTACCAAAATATGACCTAATTCGTTTTAGTTATCAGTAATTGTACGGGGTAGTTCGCCTGTTCAAATATCTACGCAATAAAAAAAAATCGGGTTTTAAACCAAACATAAAAAGTTTCGTTTAAGATCTTCTAATATAAGCTTAGCTACTTAACAATAACTCTAAGTGTCGGTTGATCTGACCGACGTTATTGTTGAAACTCATTTTTTAACAAATTAACAGAAGTAAGATAGTACTGAAGTGGATGAAAGCGATACCAAATGTTTACTTAAACTTTGAAACAAGGACTTTACTTGCATATAGCTTTGCGATTTACTCTTTAGTCATTACCTTTTTTATTTTAAAAGTATTTTTTTTATATGTCATTATTTGGTTTAAGGTTTTAAGGATGGTAACGTTAAATCTATATTTTCTAGTTCATGTTTGTTATGTTATGAAATTGTCGGAATTTGATATTGTTGTATAATATTGCTTTTCCTAAAGCAGAGTATTCTTATTATTTATATGCTATTTCAGACTGTAGAGTATTGAAAATGCTTTTCGCCAGGCGCAAATTTTTGAGGACTATTTTGAGCAATTGATAAATAACTTACGACCGGTTCAATAGCAGTTATGACGATATACATATTCAACATATATATATTCAATTCAACTGGTTAACCACTAGCAATATGGACTTCAAAGTTGATTCGATAGAAGGAAAATTTATATATGGCAGATTTACACAAAACAGGGTTTATAATTGTATTTGGTGTACTATAATTCAAACGAACGGATCTTAATTAAGCCAGACACACGTTGCCAAACAGTGCTCAGTCATCGAACATTGCTAACTAAATCCAATGGCCCTTGTATGGCCACACGTGAAAGAATTTGTTGTATTCAGGAAGCGACACCAGAGAAGTGGCGAGGAACAGTTTCCCGGGTCATTAAATATGATGAGGACATATAAGATCTTACTTATTTATTGTATCCGATGGTCGACTTGTTAATTATAACTTCAAGATGGGATGACAGTTCCTCAGGTGACGCAGAATGTTACGATTTTTTATAATTTAATTTTTGTATAGTGTTTAATAAAAAATAAGGGTATCTAATCTTATGTACAAAATACTAAATATTTCTTTTGTTAAAATGAAATTCTTTCCTTGTTATCCTTTTTACGTGCATCCTATCGGGTGCGTTGGATACACTATTTTTAATTTTTGATGAATGGATAACAATAGGAAAAATCCATAAATTGACTTAAACCAAAGTGATAAAATGAAAGAGTTTTGCAATGAAATGAATTCCAAACAATGAAAGTGCATACCTAATAATTCCTTATAACTCTGCACGTTTCTGAAATAGACTACTACTTATTAATGTTAAATATATAGAATAGAATAGAATTGAATTTATTGACCACGTTTTGTTCATACAATTATGTCAAGTCATAAATGCAATATGTAAAAAAAATGTATATAAAAAACAAGACAATGAATAAATCATATAAAGAATGTATAAATTATATAAGACAACGTATAATACAGAAGAACAGGACGGTGTATATAACAAAGAACAAGACGTTTATATAAATAAACGAAAGGACGCAACATTAACAAAATTATAGAAAGTCATTGCGCAGTCACACCGCTGACAGACGCTTCTTTAACTTCAATCACAGCGGGAGTACCCAGTATTTCCCTGACCGCGTAAAATCAGTGCCTCTTAAATTTTCTATTACTTAGCACTTTCGCGTTAGCTGCTAGTTTATTGTACAAGTTTAAGTTTAGTGATTTTTTTTGACTTTTGGTATATTTGAATCTCGAAGCACGAAGGAGTAGTTAAATAGTCATGCTAAGAGGAGTTCTGACTGAAGCTCTCTATGTTTTTGTGTATTTCTAATAATTGATTATAAATATACAGACAAGAAAGTGGCGAATAGATACGATTACTACTCCTAGGGTTAGGCTTTTCTCGAATGGAAGCTAACAGGAAATCAAAGTAATGTAAAAAAAAAATCGTTGTCATCAGGCGTTGCGTATATTTAAAACTCGCCTTTTAATTAAGCCTGTAAACATAGTAAACCGCGTCTGTGCTTTATCGTATCATTTTATCTTGAAATTCTTATCTGACAGCACAAACAAAAGGAATTTGAACTGATTTACAAAGTCTTTAAACAATTTGGTGGTAATGTTAAGTCAAGGCAGCTTGATATATCCAGATTGCGCTAGAGCTATGCGTTATAAGGTATGAAATGTACGATTTTTGGAGAAAACACGCTTGGTATATTTTCACGTAGTGTTATATAATGTGATTTTTTTTAGGTAACCTAGACGAGGTCCTGGATCCGAAATTGACGTTAAGCGACTACCAAATAACCGAAATCTACGTTGTCCATAAAGGCACGACAAACTTAAACCAGGCTTTTTCTGCTGCCGACATTATGAGCCTTAGGAAGGAAGAGGAAAGGAAGCACATGCACAACAAAACCGGTGGCGGCGTTTTCAACCTCATTTTTAAACGAGGCAAATCGGTAAGGACACAAAAGCAGTTTGTTTCAAGTTCTATAATAATTATTTTCATTACTCTTTTGTTAAAATGGACCGATCGTAAGTAAAACGCGATAACCTAGATAGCACGTAGCGCAATTACGCGAAAAATAGATGTTTACATTTTCTCGCAAAGTAAATTAGTTCGTATATTTATCGGGCAAGTAAACGTCGATGTTATTTTGCTAAAAGCGGAAAATAAAATGAGCCTTTTTTTAATTACTATCTAATTAGAGGCAAATGGTCGAGAAACACAACAAAAGACATTCTAAGCAATCATTCATGTATAGCCCGTTCAATTATTCTTGTAAGGGATAATTTTTTTATCAGAAAAGAAATCGTTGTCTTGAAATTGCGCGTGCCTATTGACAGTGAAAACTGTGTGTGTAACATAAAGAACGAGATTCTTCTACTTATATCTGACCCATTTCCAATTCCTAGTGTGAAGGGTCATTTTTAGATTACAAACAAACAAAAAACAATTATATTACAGAATGAAAACACATCAGGTTCTGTATATTGCAGTTTTTGCTTCTATAAGTCGTTGAAACCTATAAAACACAAAGAAATTAACTTCAAATTGGGTATTCTGGAAATATTCGATAAAAATATTTAATAAAAAATTCTTTTGCCCAATTTAGCGAACCCAGTGTTTCGAAAAAAGGTTTGGCTAAGGTATGAATAATATCAGCAGTGGTTAGTTGTTTGGTAAATAGACATGTTATGTCCGAAAAGCCTTCTTTAAATGATAACGGCTCTTTAAAAGGTGCCGCAGAAATAGTTCTTTTTTAAAAAAGTTTTGGAAGCGCTTTATGACATCTAGATGAAATCGACTACAAAAAACCTATGGGTCGTGAAAGCTATAGCACCGACGACATTTTTTTATTTTGTACGATCTCTTACCTAAAGGAGGCGTCACTTATTATGCCGCAAACTGTTTGTTATGGCAATATTTGTAGTTTATTGGACAAAAATGATATTTTTCAAAACAGCGATTCGAAAACTGGTGGTATGCAAGAGCTTGCTGGAATACCTGTATACAATATTATGCCGGAAAAAATAATTCCATCGATTCTATTTACAAAACTTTTAGATTCCTCCTTCGTTGGTTCTTGTTGAATCGGAATTTTTGGTTAGCCAGTTTCAGTAAAGCTCTGAAGAAGCCAACAGGATGATTGGCTAAACATCAGCAAGTTCGACTCAACAACAACCGACGGAATCCAGAAGTTGCGTATTACAGTTGCCCTCGGAAGTTTATTTGAACACTTTCATAGGTACAGAGTAACTGCTGGTGTTCTGCTTCTGGGGCCCCAGGTCTCCAAAATGTCACTATCAGATGGCTATCAGATTCTTGTCTGGTGTTTATGGGTACTTTTCACAAAAGTTCTGAATTCCTCCTGCGTTGGTTTTTGCTGAGTAGAAATTGCTGATGTTTCGCTAATCATCCTGTGGGCTTCTTCAGAGCTTGACTGAAACTAACTCACATTTTACTCTGTACCAGCTTATATATTGTTTGAGAGGGGCATAGCTAAATGAGGGGCATAAACATCGTCTCGGATGACTGATTCCCAAACTGGTTAAGATTATTAGGTTGTTTATAGATTTCTATAGACTTTCGGATTTTGCGTTGGTAGAAGAATTGATTACATGCAATAATTTTAGTTTTATCGAATAAAATTATATGTCCTTTTTCGTGACTGTGATCGGCAACTGCTGATGAGTTCATGTTCTTTGAGCCTAGTTGATATTTTTCGTCCGGTCTCTCCAATGTGTTCTTTGCCGTGTATGCATGGAATGCTGTGAGATGCCAGGAGTTTACTACTGTACCATGTACTAGGTTTGTTTTCTAATGGGTTTGATCCCGGGAATCTCACGGAGTAATTTCATACTTCATTGTTTCTGAAAGTATGAAATAAATGAACAAAAGTGCTTGTGGTCTAAAGGCGAATTTTCGGATATATTCTTATCAGTCATATTATCTTCATTTATAATTAGAGTACAGCTCTAAGAAAGAGATTTTGCTTTTAATCTGATTTTTGCTGTCACTTTCAGAGTATGGGTTCGGGATCTGTATCGAGCGATAACAGATCGATATCCCCAACGCAAAGCGACGACTCCCGATCTGTCACACCACCTGGTGTGCAGCCGCCGCCTATCATAACCCCTCCGAAAAAGGACCCGCCGCCTGAACGTCCGAAACCGCCCCAAAGAAAAAGGCGACCGGCGCCTAAACCACCCCAGATTCAATCTGAAGGAGTTAAGGAAGTCGATGCAGAAAAGACACCGTCAGGTGAACATTCCCTTTGTTTTAAAGCGCGCCGAGTAGGCCATTTTAGACATTTTTGTCACTTTTTTGTGATGATATAATCTGTATATTAGTTTTTATTTTGATTGAATCCAATGCAGGGGCTTGAAATATAGATGGAAACGGTTATTTTAAAAAAAATTCTCGAAATTTAGCATTTCCAGTAATTTACTTTATTTTTAAATTAATTGGTTATAGGCTATGGCTATTACCGTTATTGAACCTTAAACTGGAATGATTACATGATTACATATTTCATTTACTCTAGTTGTGTTTTCAATGGATAATTACTTAGGTTAGGGTTTTTATCATTTTGGATATTAATAAATATTGAATTTTGATATTGCTTTTAAAATAGCTATACATATAGACTCCATATTTTTCAAACTATTGTCAATCTCAAGTCAAATTTATCGAAAAACAATTTTCGAAGCAAAATTATTCTCATTATATGTTGTTAAAATTGTCGAAAGTAATAAAGTATAGGTCCCAACTAATTCATAGGAATCGTATTTTTAAAGTCAGTAAAGGATATAATGACATATAAATTATAAAAAAGTTGTTAATTTAAGGCAAGTTAAAAATTGTACAGAACTCTTCTAGGCGCGGAAATGAAGATGTGGAACGTCTTAGGACAGGGATACATCGCAGAATGAAAATAGAAAATATATCTTGATGTAGAACTTAAAAAACAATATAATTTTTTCCCTAAATTCAGGCGATTTCTAAATATTTAACAGAGTAAATTTCGAAGATTTTTATAAATCTACCTAACAGAAATTTGGGAACGGCTAACAGGAATTTTTAACAAGCTTTAACATTGTAATTTTTTTTCTAATCTAACAGTCGTAACTTTTACAGTCGCCGTTATACTAGAAACTATTATAAAATTAACGATACTTTTACTAGAAATGAATACCTAATACTTATTAAGTTTTATAGTTGTTATATCCTTGTACATAATTGAGTTGGTTTATTTTCAGTTCTTTCCAATGATGATTTATCGACAGAGACTGCGACACAATCGGAGGGCAAGAAAGCGATTAGCGAGAATGGTCTCACTATATGCCATTCTCGAAATAGCAGCGACAGTTCGGGGTACCACGAGGCGTCCATATTGAGTGAACATTGCGCTAACACGTCGTTGCCTCGAGGACGACCGAAATCCGCCCTCGTACAGCCGCTACAGGGCGGATCAAATTTGACCAGCATGGCCGCCCACTCGAGATCTACGACCAGCTTGATAGCAGGTAATTCTACTAGAAATTTTTTAACTTTTTCAATAATCTGGTAGTTTAACATGATGTTACAAATCACCGTAAAGATAGATAGATATATATTTTATTTCCCTTTTAACGTATGAATATATAATATAATATTAATATAATTATTAGTATGGGTATTGCTCTACCTATTATATCAATAATACGTGCCCTGAAAAATTGTTTCTTCTTTCTCGTAAAGCTAAGCACAAAACATTAACCAGTGTTAAAATGTAATTTATTTGTTATAGTCCAGTCACATATTTTCTGTAAGTCCTGTTAAAGTTTTAGATAGTCAATATATTTTCTAATTATAGTATAAAGTATAAAGCATATAAAAGTATTTTGGAATCATAAAGTCAATCAAGCAAATCAGTAATAAACAAAAAAAAAAGTGATGGACCAAGTTTGGAACCCTACGGAACACCCGACATTGCATGATAATACACCAACTCGCTGTGGTCTCATATACAAATATGATTTTTAAAAAATAACCAGGCTATTATGACAACCAAATTTGTTGAATAAATTTTACAGAAGGTCATTATGTGATCTGTGTAAATAACATCAACTTGACTTTTCTTGTCCAATCCTTTAGTAATATATTGAGTAATTTCACCAAGGTTTGTAGAAGCAGATTTTTTATTTAAAAAATCATGCTTATTTATATTTTGTGCTGCACAAAAGTATATGTATATTTATGCATTATGGATTGAAATATTTTAGCAGAACAAGAAAATAGTGATATAGCTTTGTAGTTCTTAATATTAGTAACATCACCTTTTTCAAAAACATGGGCAGATTTTTGCTTCTCCAAATATACAGGCTGTATTCTATTCAATGTGTCTAAAGTAAGGCTTACTTATAAAACGTATATTCACACACATACTAGTAATAGTTAACATGACTTACTACATAATATGGCTCGCATAAAATTGCATTACGTGAATTGTTGGGTTAGGAGGTTAAGATTGAACCAAAGTATATATGACATCGCATTAAAAATAATAACGAATAAAATATAGAGCCATCGATTAAAATTATTCACTATGACGTTACACATTGAGATTGAGACATAGTTTTGAACTAGCATTACAAATAATCCAAGGAAAACATTTTCTTAGAATCCTTGAAATTAGCTTTTGGTATTAATACTGAAACATCACAAATAAATTTTTATATCATTTGATATTATATTCAACAGTAACGAACGATATTCAAAAGATCCGCTAAAGGATATCTAGAATTTGTTTAAAAGTGATGGTCCATTAAACGTCTAGAGAGTTTTCTGGACTACGTGGTTAATGCATGGATCGATTTGATATATCCAATGGATGTCGTGTGCTATTACAATTAAAAAATGAATAAACTTATGTATAAGCAATAAGCTATAAGATTCTACCTACTTGTACAATAAATGAATAATACTCTTATAAATAAAAACAATTATACGCAGCTGTTCTTGTTGCTTAAGTAATAAAAAAATATATTTCTGTTATTTCTATTACGTTATATTAGATTTCAACTTAAATATATTTATAATGTAAAATTCATTAAAAATAACAAATGTGTTAAGTTCACAAGCCTTACCTTTGATGTTCTTTACATTTAAGTTGGGATATTTGCATGGGCGAATGATTTATCAAATTATCAATTTAATGGCCCATTTGAACTATGGGTAGATTTTACATATTTTTTAAATAGAACTACATATTTTTAAGAATACTATAATTGGATAAAACGTTCATGTGGCCTTAAGCTGATAGGTAGATAGATTACAGTAACAAAAGATTGTATTTTTCAGATAGCAATATATAGCAAACTTTTGTCCAGTGTTACTTTTTCGACTTCCTTTGAAAGGATGTGAGATGTTACGTTAACAAGGTGGGCCTTGAATATAAAAAAGAATTGAAAAGAACTAACAATCATTATAATCGTTAAATGTAAATTTATTTAATTTTTTAATGGACCACGTGATAATAACGATGCCTTAAATTCTTATACTTTTGTCAATGATGCTTTCGGAAAGGGAATGGCAACATATACTCTCATCAATTTCTGATATTGAAAGCTCGGGTACGAACGGATATTGCTTTCTGCAAGACCAAAATGTGTCAGCGATTTTTGGTTTGTCATTTTGGAACGTTTGGACACGCTTTTTTCGGAGCAATTCGGATACTTTTAAAATATCTAATGCATCAAATTAATGAGACAACTTTCGTAATGACGCAGTACATGCAAACAAGTTTTCCAATTTAAACTAGGCAATTAAACAGTTAGAGTTAAATTTTTGTCACTTTTTGTTTTAAATATTTAAGTGTTTATAATCTTCTTCAAACACATCAAAAATACGTAACATAAAATTAAATAAAAAATTAATACCACCTTGCTCAATAGTTAATAACTAAGTAATTTACTTTATGCATAGATAATAGACAATATTTCCAGTCTATTTATAATTTATACTATAATAGCGTTGCGTATTAGGTCTACTTCAAAACACTCGGGTAAAAGCATTTCTTTCTTTTTTGTAAATATGATTCAATAAATTATAATTTTATTAAAGTTATTGGACTTCGTAAAAGCCGATTTTATTAAATTAACTACGGATACTGATATGGCGCTTACATCCTTATAACTGTACGTTCTTACTAGTACGTCCAAAGTTTTCTGCCAAAAACTCTTAAAAGAGTTACTTATTAAAAACTTCTAAGTCGCCTTTCCGGCAAACTTAATTTGCTAGACCTCTTTGTTATTGCGTCATGATTGGTAAAAATATTTTTGATACTTCATAGACACCAGAAAATTAACTTTTAACAGTTACACTGAACTGACATGACAACACTAGGACTAGAACAGTCACGTATTTTTATTGCCTATATCATTGAAGGAAGGACTTTATTTATTTCATTTCAAATGTAACGAAATTAATCTTTTTTGAAGTTTGAACCTGAGATAGTCGGGTGAGGTCAACGAGCAAATTTTGAGGCGTTAGTTCTATTTGTTTTTGCATGCGTCATGTAGTATGTGGGATGTTGTTAACAAACAAAAATGAGTACAAATTCACTTTTCTGCGTATTATCCGAATCGACGAGACATGTGGGGAGCGACGACAAATAAGGCAACGAAAATCCATAAAAATAACACGCATATGTTTTTATTATTAATTTTATGATGCAGTTGTGCATTATGAGAGAAAACGCTGGTGTTGTTATCGATCCCCATAGGTTTTCGAGTAGGTATCGGCTATTTATAAGTTATTATTTATTGTCAACGCAGAAACTCGCGTGTGCTTTGGAATTCATTATCAGATTCCCTCGTCGAGTTTTCGACGTTTTTCTTATTAGTGCAATCAAGAAAATGAGTGTGAGAACAGTGTACATATACCAAATTTATTTTATAAACTTTTGAACTCAAATAATTTTATCTACTTTCACAAATTTTTTCCTACAATTTTACTCCTAAATTTGACTTTGGTCATTAAAAGAGATAAAAAAGAAAACACTCTACGAAAGAACTTAAGAAATAGAAGATTTTTCCCAGAAGCTCTATAATTCTTTGCGGAATTCCATATTTATAGGGATTTTTTCTATGAATTTGGGTGTAGGTAAGTGAAAGGTTTCCGAAGGTTTTGTGAATCGATGGGAATAACTGACAGAGGTTTTCTAGAAGATTCCTCAAGGTTCTTCAAGTCTGTACATTATATTTTGTTCTACGTTGTTGTTCACATTTAATATAACAAAATATTGATGTAATATAGCAAAAAATATAAATTTGGTCGAAAACTGAAATACTTATTTAATAAATACTCTTCAATGGCGTCGCTGGTGGCCTAAGTGCTTGGACGCCCGCGAGGGCGCCCCCCTTTAATACCAATACCAATACCAATGGCGTCGCTGGTGGGGTGGGGCAACTGCAAATGGAAATTGCAAAATTCTACTTCGGCTGTCGCTATAACTCAAAAATTAATTTTGTTCCGATTCTGGAATAACAGTTTGTAAAAGGTAATAATATTAATTATTTTATATATGATATTAAAATATCTCAGTCAATCTTTGCGGTTAACGACTTTATAATATTAAATGGAGAGAATCGAGTAACAAAAATATTTTCAAGGTTTTCAAGATTCAAGGTTTTATAGTACACCATTTATAACAGGGAAAGTTCAAAAGAAGTTCTTACGATATATTGGTTATGGACTCAAATATTGAAAAATAATTCGGAAAACAAAGTCTTGTTTCTTTGCTATATATACTAATTGTAGTATTGGTTAGTTTTGGTTGCAAGGTATAATTGATAAAATTATAAAATGCATAAGTTTTATCAGGTCAGGTACAGGTTAAAAAAATGTATTATTGAAATTTCAAAGTCGCCATTGATTTCCGGTGGATCTGGATCTTGCGGCAAAATTCCTAATAATATATTATGCAACAAGTGCGGTAAACGGAATTTGACTCACGAGTTTATTTGACACGAGCGGAGAGTTTACCGAACGTGTTGCATACTATACTTTTTCTACGACCGTTAGTATTTGGGTACATTCTCGCAAAACAACACGAATACATTCACTGACATGGCCGCCATCAGAATTGATAAACGTCAAAATTCAAAGCGTGGGAAATATCTCCGAAAACATCCGATTTCTCCCAAATCCGTGCGGTAAAATCCCGGAAATGTCCGAAGTGGCTCGGATTCATGAGAAATGAAACTGACGTGGTAAAGTGACGCATTCCGCACGCTACACCGGTGGGTAATTAAGTATTTTACAGACGGGAATAGAAACAATATATTATCGGCCTTATTGTAGTGAACATACCAGATTTCTAGAAGTTCCACCTCGTGAATGACCCTGTACAACATGTAAAAAATTCGTATATGGATACGAAAATGTTTCGTTCGTAAACATATGACGAATGCAATTGATCCAAGCGTTATAGAAAACATTTTTGTTCATGTTATCCTGACCTTTAATGGAACATTTACGAGTACCGAAACCCATTTCAATATCTCAATGAGTTTTCGATAAATTTAAAATAAACTGCACAAGTCAAAAAAAGATTAAATGCCCTGTATCATCAAAACCAACAATTTAAGGACCGATATTTATATGAAACTTCTTCGGTTTTCATGTCAATGTAGAATTTTACCTTAAAACTTCTTCACGACATTCTGTATCATGCGCTACATTTTTTCTCAGTGTATGTATTCGTATCGTATTCGCCGTGTGGGGTTATCTTAAGGAAAAGGCCGTCGCAATGTTTTATTTTGTTTTCGACTATCGAATTATCCGTGTTATCGACTTACCGCCGCTTTCCCTTTACCATGAATTTCCGCCAATTATAATTTTTATCAATTCCGTTTGACACGTTGTGGCTAATTATCTCGACGCAAGAATGTATGAGGTGGGTAGAAAGTTCCTATGTGGGTATTGGGGATCGTTTGAATCTGGTCCGTGCGTTCGTCTTTATTGATTTAGTGAAGTTCGAGTCGAACGATCGAATGGTGCGTGCAACTTGTTCTGTTTAGTTTGCGTGATTGTTTGCCTTGAGTATTAAACGAAGTGTTTGTTTGGAAACTGCATTGTATGTCAGATGAGATCTTTAGTTAGAAACCTTGGTCAACGATTCATTTTGAGGTCTTCTTTTTATATAATATACAAGATTTCCTAGCAAACCTAACAATAGAAACCAATTCTTCTCATATATAAAATCTTTTTGATATAACATGTTCCCATAAAAGTATTTGTCGTATTTCATTGGTTACTAATAACATTTTCCTTGTTAAAACTTAAAATTGGTTTGATTAATTGATTGGACTCCATTAAAATATAATATATGTAAAAATAAACCGAACAAGTTTAACCAAAAACGTTTTTTCGCCTTTATTCTGCAGATAAAATAAGACAATGTTGTGATATAGGCGCCGCAGTTGGTTTAAAACAAAATTTTGTAGACAATTTGAAGTAAAAAACTCCCAACCTCTTTATTGCGATCGAAGCATCTAAACGTGTTCCCAAAACATCTCTATATGGAAAAATATGAATTATTTATCGGAAAACGCAGATTTCTGCTACAATTTAATACATCAACCAAGGATCAATCAAATTATCAAATTTTAAATTATCATCGTAATAACATTATAGTCATGGTTGAATGAATGGATTTTCAAATTAAAAGTCCTGAAAATAAAATCGAGGAACTTTTTGAAAAAGACATTATAAAAAAGATATATCGTGCAATTTAATTCAATTTAATCCATTCTAAATTTATTCCAGCTTAAACCTCCCCTATTCAAAGACACGACAAATACGTGGAACTAACATTATATTCTTTTTTCAAATTATTCTGTTTTTCTATTCCTCACTCTAAAATAGTATCACTTTAAGATGTTGCGAGCCACTTGGAACACTTAAGGCACTTAATCGAATATTTGCGGTGGATTCTGGCGCCATGATATTTTAACGTTTGCTAGTTCTGATATCACAGTAAATTTATTCGAGCTGCTTTGCAATCTTTAAAAAGAAAAATTATATCGTGCCACACGTTGATAAACTTCTTTAGTGACTCGTGACTAAAATAGCGTCTATTAAACTTATTGCATAATACAAACAGTTGACGTCTAACTGGCACCTTCGAAAATTTAAATTCTTAAAATTAAAATATAATCAAATCTCCAAGCTATCAGTCGATGAATTGTTTTAACTCTACTGGTAATATAATAGATACAAAAACTGTTGCCACGATCATCAAGTGGGTAATTTAATTAAAGTTGATTAGGTAGTAACTGGACGGAGAACAGATATTAAATAAATACCAAGGTAATCCAATTATTACCAACGCGAGGCTTCAATGTTTGAGTGGGCGTCGTAGCAATCCCACACTCATTAAACGAAATTTGATTAGCCTCATATGCTAACAAAATATTGCTGTGAAAAATAAACTTCGTTGAATATATGTATTTAAATAAATTATTAAAAAACTTGACGCACCTACAATTAGATGAAGAATTTAAAATAAAAATATTAATTAGATAATAAAGTATGGATATTAGGATTCTTATAGCTTCCTCTAGCTAAGTGTTCGCGTTTTTCCGGAAACAATCAATAGTTTTTAATTGAAAAGTGTTTAGTAATGTCACATAATTATATTCATTTGTTTTCCTCACAGCCAAGACATTAGCTGGTGCGTGATAAATTTTTTAGTCGCAGTGTTTACTTTCACTCGCACTTCTTCAAAGACAGGTTTTCTCGCCAATTTCATCTGAGATGTCTGATCTTGACGCAACATTATTATTTGTTATAATTGTGAAAATTTACACAAAATGACTCACGTAAAGAGGAACAACATGGTTTTTATGTTTATGCTAAACATTGTTTATTAATTTTTCGAGCTTAGTCATTAACTATGTGTGAGAAAAACTAAACAATACAAATAAAGGAGATAAAAGTACCATAAACATTATGTAAAAATTAACAAATAACTTTCTTTTGAAATAAACAACATGGCGTTTTATTTAATTTAATCAATTTGTTGCTACCCGATAATATTAAGATGAATTAATAATTAAATTAACATTGATAGTTATAACATTTTCAACAAACAATTTTCAAGAGTCTTTGATGTGCAATTTTTTTGTTTTAGGGCGGAAAAAGAAAGCGGCCCCTCTTCCCCCTTCCGTAGTAGTAACACCAGCCAGTTCGGTATTATCAGCTCCCTCCACCGAAAAACCTAGTCCCTTAGTTGCTAGTCAGCCTAATTCCACCCCCAACGAAGAAGGTAAGTTTTCCTCGAGTAAGATCTCGTATACTAACTCCTCACCCGCACTGCGTAAACGGCAACAGAAAAAAGTCGGTGCACCATTCTTTAAAGGCCCCTTGGAGATTTTCCAAAAAATGTACAAAGGAAAGGATAGGGTTTATTCACCCTCCGCGGCTATTACTTTGGGTAAAATTTATAGTGACGAGATAGCCAATCTGGGAAGATACCGCCACGAGGAACGTAGGCATTCGGATATCTGCAAGAATGGTAAATTCAAGCATTTTAGGCAGTCTTCACTTAGAGACCCCAATGAAGTATTTTCTAATGTTCAACTTGGCACGCCTCCATCAAATGAAGCCAATGATCCCAAATGTGGAAAATGTACTCAGAAGCGTAGGTCGTCTCATTCGGAAGAGTCTGTGGAAGATCTTAATATATTTAACAATAACAGGATAGGTATGCCGCGCAAATCCTGCGATACAATAGAGACATTGATCAAAGCATCTTTAACTTTGCTTCCTACAGATATTGATCCAAGTCTCAGATCGTCGAAACCGGCACCGCATATTAATGACACCACCACCAATATGAAATTGAATGAAAACGAGACTATATCTTCTTCACATCTGGACGTTGAGTCCGAAAATCATGATGATCAAATAACTGAAATTGAAACGTCATTCCAATGGTTAGACTCGTCTGAGTCGGAAGAATCTGAACGTGGGTCCATGGCAGAATCGTTTAATGATATTGACGTTCCGATCCCAGAATATGACGAGAAAGAAAAACCTCAACCAATTTACTCTACCGTCGAGTCAACAACAGCGGAGCTAGGCGACAGTTTTCCAGCCACATTCGACGAAACTGGCCGAGAGTATGAGAGAATTGAAACAGTAGTTGAAAACCTTGCAGAAGATTACGAGTATCATTTAAAATACAGGTATGTCAGCGCCAAACCACGTCCACCTAACGAAAAAACAAACATTGCCATATCAGAAAGACAGGCAGACTTGCAAATTATTACGAATATTGATACGGAAAAAAAACACGAGTCAGTCCCCGAGGAGAAAAAAAATTATCTTGAAAATATATTGAGGGGCCACGCAGGCTTTCACGTTACAGATCTAGATGTCTACGGTGTTCCTACTCATGCTGTAGCTATGAGAAAATATGATTCCCCGAAAAATAAATTTCAATCCATACAGTTAGCTCACGTTGCTGAGAAAAGCACGCAATGTGCAAGTGCAACACCTGAATCTGATATAATTTCTATTGATACAAATTCTAATAATCTGGCAGATCATTCGCTCACCATAACGGAACCTACACACGTCGGGAATGCCAATGGAATTGAAGGTTTTGGCTTTCGTTCGCCCATTCTACAAGTTTATGGGGTGCCCACGTACAAAGCTGACAGGAGGAAGCTTGCATCTATCAGAAAATTACCACATAGGTCTCACGCAGCACTATCAAAACAATCGAAATTGCAAGTTTTAGGCGAAACGAATTTAAGATCGCCTATTTGCTCACCTGAAAAATCGCAGACCCGAAACCCCGTCGATGAGAACTGGAAAGAGTTTCTCTCCAAATTGGACACGATTATAGTAAACAAAACGGCCGAGTTCATTTAAACTGGTTCGTTCTTTTTTCTGTTGCCTACGGATTTGTAAATATACTTGTGGAAGATGTGTGAGCAAATCAATTCGTTTGAATTGCTTTACATTTCCTTGGCTTTTTCAAACATTTGGTGTGGTTATGCACATTTCCGGTTTTTATTTTCTTTTGCTGACTAATTCACCCCTTATATTTTGCATGCTAGATTTTCCCGAGGTGCTGGAACCCTTAACCTCCACTATTAACCCCGTGCCTCTACCTAGAAGAAGAAGCGGTAACCCGCCCGTGCCTCAACCACGTCACGATATTCAATCTTTGAGTGAATCACGCAATGAACCAGTCGTATATAAAGAGCCTAAGAACAATCAAAATGACCTTTTCAATGAAACTATAATAGAAGAAATAATTAGAGAGAAGCTAGAAATGGCAAGGGAAACAGTCACTCCAGAATCTGTTTCTAGAGACATCGAGGAACCTCCCATAGAAGACATGTTATTGAGTTTGGAAGCTGTGAGTCCATTTTCAAGTCTCCAGGAACTCACTAATGTTCCCAATGAGGAATTTTCTAAAACGACCACATCATCTGCCAATTTAGTGACAAAATCCGATGAACCTTCACACGCATCGATGGTCGAGTTGCAAAAATCTGTTATCCAGAACATATTTGCATCCACAGACTTTCTAGGGGAGTCAAAACCACCCGAAGTGGTAGCGTTGATTCCAAAGACCCCAAAAGACGAAAAGAAATTTGCTTCCAAAGTCGATACATTCGGCAAGAAGCAATGCTTCAAGATCGGAAGCTCTATACTAGAACATAATTTCGATCCAGAATCAACAAGTTTGGGAAGTAAAAAAGACACCGATAGCGTGTCATCTAAAAATTCGGTCAGCTCAGCACTGAACGCGTTTCATTTTGTCGACGAAATTTCGGACGTCGACGAAAGTATGTTTACTGGATCGCAATCGAAGGCGGCAAGTAAAAAGAGACCGGAAATTTTTAACCAACTGTTTGGAATGCACGCATTCGAGGAAATTGAAAGACCGAAACTTATAAAAAATTTATCGGTGACAAGTCTCAGTAGCGTTTCCAGTATACCCGGTTTTGGTGGAACTAACATGACGAAATGGGGCAACACGGAGGAGTTAAATGACGTTGCCCTCAGCGTATTCAGCGTTAGGAATGAATGGTTAGCTGGTGACGCATCTGACACAGGCATGTTTTCTGAAAATGTCGTAATACTTGTCTGTGGTTTTTTGTCACTCATCAAGTAGTTTCCATTTGTTTGTAGAAGTTTTGGAGCTGCGGCAGTTTCGTCTTTAAAGATTCACATTACATCTTGATAACTATAAATGTTTTTTAGAAAATACCCAGTAATATTTTAACAGGAAATCATAAGCAAACCAGCAAAATGGAACTGACTATCATTCAAAGTCAATCTTTACGGACAAAACTGCTCATAATTGCTTGCAACCTTAGTGAATGTAGTGACCAGATACATATACACATGTAGATTACAACACTAAATGAACCTCAATAATTTTCTAGTCTAACTCATCAATTTTTGTAACATAATTCTTCAACATCAGCTTCGAAAAGTTGACAGTCAAAATTTTGACAGCCTCATTTTTGTTTTCCAGAATCTTTAACTTCAAACTTTACCACGCAAACGCCTAACGACAATTTACTACCAATTTCGCCGCATAGTGACACTCGTAATAAGTTTGAGGAGAAAAGCTTAGATTCTACGGATAGCGGAATCGCACAGGATTCTCATTCCGATAGAGAGAGGGAAGTACAAGACTTACCTATTGATAGTCCTCCGAAAGTTTTCGTTCCGAGAGAACAGGATTCGGTACCTCCGACGGAAGAGCAATCAATTGGTATCGATTCCGTGGTTAATAAAGAACCTTCTTTTAACGAAACCGTAACATCTGCGAAGGTCCAATCCTCAAAAGATAAACAGAACAATGCCCTTTCTGATGATACTACTGATAAACTAGTCATTGCAACCGAAATAGTCGCGCCGGTAGAGCCATCACTTCCTACGCAGGTATTATCAGATATAAAAGTGGCTCCCCAACCACCAAAAAGGCAGTTCGCTGATGCGAAGAACTCAAAATTGGGAAAGATTTGCACAAATCAACAGAACGAATCAGAACTGATCGATATCGACTGGCACTACCAATTGCCTTCCCCACCGAAGGCATTTAGAGATGTTAGTCCCCTTGACCCTTCAGCTTACGAGGCTACCTCAGTAGGTGACTTGAAGGATTCTGTAGTTACTTCTCCAGAGCTTTTTGAGAAACTGAAAAGCCTGGAGGATAGTCATTCAGAAAATGGTACCCTAAAGAGTGAGGTTACTAGTATCGCTAGCGAAGAACCTCTGAACACGTTGTCTCTAGAACATTTGGAAAAAAGGAAATCTTTGGTGTACAACAGGGAACTCGCGACTAGTCTCAAAATGACTGATAGTATAGGAATTAAGGCGGAGACTAAGGCGTCATTAGGTGATACTTTTTCAAATTCTTTGTCGACTTTTGAATCTACTTACGACAATATGACCAATACGAGTATTGTTCAAGAAGTTAGCAACAAACGTTCTAAGTCTTATGCTGTATCCAATACATTACCGAATTTTAAGATAACAACGTACGACGTGCCAAAACAAAAAATCAAGGTTTTCGAAGACGAAACAATTAGGAGCAATTCGACTACGTCCAATCTCAAAAAATCTTTCGGTGGGTCTATGCAAAATATTTCTCATAGTGCTAAGCAAAATGGGGACTATGTGACAAAGGAAACAAGCCACGAGTACATATTCTATAGGCCGAAGCCGATGAATGTACCTCCTAACGTTTCACGTTCAGGATCCTTTTCCGACAATAGACTTCCAATGAAACCAGTATCAAGATCAAAGTCACAATTAACTTTGACTAAGTACAAGGACGTCAAATCCGGACCTGTCCGCGACGAATCATTGTCGAGGAGTACTAGCTCATTTGATATTTCTGGGCTCCAGAGTTTAGAGGTAGGTGGTCAACAAGTTAATAGTTGTTAAGAATTTTATGGTGGGTGTATCGTTATGTTTTTTTTTATTTGGAAAATATTGGTGGTGGATTGAAATTTTAGTTTGAAATCTAATTGGGAAAATACATAAATACATGTGCATGCAGCGTCGCCATTTTTAATACCAGAGCAGCGTGCTAACATTATGCAAGTTGTCCTCAGAGTCTGAAAAACAATTTTGTTTCAGTGGTTACATCAACAATTTTCATTGCTTATTTAAATTATCAACAACACAAACAATCTACTACCTAGTACCTAGGAATTTCATAATTTTTGTTTTTTTTTTTAGCAAAAACTATATTCTGGTACACTTTTTTATAATTTTCTTTTTATGTTCATTAAAATTACCGGCAAAAATGAGTTATTTACATAAAGTTTTAAAAAGGATATAAATAGACTAACTCACCTTATCAATATTGGATGCGAATCTATACATAATTAAGTATTTTCGTAATAATGAAATGTCGACTTGGCTCATGATATTCATTTACTGTCTTATTACGTCACTGTAAAAGAAAAGCGTGTTTTTTCTTGCCTACTACTTGCCATCTTCGTGCCAATGGTGCCATAGAGTTTTGAGGCAAACAAATTAGTTATTCACTAATCGCTTAAAATACTTTGGACTTTTTCAAAAATTCCTGAAAGCTGTTTAGAAGCCTTATTTCCTATGACCCTCATTTCCTGTAGGCCTTATTTTTTATAAGTATTAGATTTAACGAATATAAGGCTCCCATTTGGAAGAACAGAAATAGAAAGAGTTTAAAACGTAAATTTTTAGACGATTTTATAATGGCTGAATATCTAAAGAAAAAACCGATAATAATTGTCTTTGTAGATTATTGATGCATTTTTTAAAAATGTTCTATTGGTTCACGTCTCACTTTAAATTTTGTGTTGTTACGTTTATCAATTTCACTTCTTAACATTTTTATTTCGAATTCATTCTGGAATCAACAAAAAATGTCGCACTTTTTAAAACCCATAAAAACAACTGCCGAATGGAATTCCAAGAATTCCTGTATGCATATTGTCCACTCATGGCAACTATGTCCTAAAAATTGATTAGACTAAAATTTAACATAGGGAAATTAATAAACCTAACAACAAAAAGCTACTGAATTGATGTACAAAACCAAATATAAGGTTTTAAGGAATACTTATATCTGTTTTCATTACAGGTAATGAAATTAATTCAAAACAAACTCGATACTCCGACAGGTCCTGTGGAAAACCTTCAACCAAAAGAACAGCCCCGACGCCAAATTACGCCTCAAAGTATATTACCAGAATCTGAAATTGAAGATAAAGAAGTAGTGCCTAAAGAATCGAACGAAGACAGACTTGTTTCTACCAGACCCATAAAAAAATACCATTACAGAGGGCCACCTGCAGTTGAGCTGGCAACATGGTCTGAGCGACCTAAGGTGCCGGTAGCGGTCAAAGAAGATGCCGATTATAAATTGGGCAATCACTTCAACAACATATCGTCTAAATTAATTGTCAACACTACCAACAACAATATTTCGAGTAATAACAGTATCGAGATTAAAGGCGCACCTAAAAGTTACGGCGAATACAAAGAGTCAGATGCCAAGTTCGGCGGTGCCAACGAAGAAATCACGCAGAAGTCCGGCAATGTCGTAATTAAAATAGGGGGTAACCAAAATAGTTTTACTAGAAATTTTGATAACCCGAAACTTCTGGGTCCGACTGGTTACAGAAAACCGTTCTCCAACGTCAATGGAAATGCTAATGGTTATACAAATAAACCAAGACCTCATTCAATAGCACTCGATTCTAATTTTGATATTTCGAGGGTGCCTGTGGTGCGATCCGTTGAATTTAAGAAACCTTACAAAGACATTCAGGGAAATAACACGTCAGTTACTCACATTTTCTCCGGCAATGATAGTTTATATTCGTACAATAATAATATAAATGAACCGGAGCAATACCGAAGCGCTGAGAACATTAAGAATTTGGAAAAAGGTGAAAGCGAGACGCACAGGAAGATATTTCGGGTTGGAAGCTACAAACCAATCGAAAATCACGCGCCGCCCGTTGTCAGAGGTTTTAGAGCTCAGACCAACTCGGACGTCAGCCACAGGTTATCGTGGAACCCTAGCAATTATGGTACTTTGCCGCTAAAAACTAAACAAGAGAAGGAATATTCTACGAATCAGCACGTACCATTTTCCCAATTAAATCTGAGACGAACTGAATCGAGTAGAATAATTAATAACGACGGCATTAATCAAACGAGGATTGAAGATTATGAAAAAACTAACTCGTATACTTCACTTCCCTCTGCGTTTATTAACAGAAAAGTGGAAGTAGCACCGCCACCGCCACCTCCCCAAATGCCGAAGCTAATATTGAGAAAAACTCCTCCGAAAGAAGTACGAATTCATGCTACAGTAGATCCTAGAGACATGCTCATGGAATCTATCCGAAACTTTGGCGGCAAGAAAGGGCTCAAACTTGCGAAAGCTTGATTTTTGGTATTTGTGTAAATAGAGCCATTTTAGTCAGTTTCTTTCACGTAAAGCTCAATTATCGTGTTATCAGTTTTAGTTGTACATATTCTGTTTTGTATACCTACATATACATATATATTTGTGTGTGTCAAATAATGGTTTGGCAAAAAGTATATATCGAATGTACTTGTAACTGACTTGGTATTTACTTTTTGTATAATATTGTATATTAATATAAGAGTGATGAATTAAGAAAATATTGTAAAAGTTTGTCTTTAGATAGGCACCATAATAAACTAATATGTATGTTTATGTTGAGTATAATACACTTTAGTACATATTAGGGACCAAAGGTTTATGCGGATATTATTTATTTGTTACATAAAAATGTATATTAATATTTCTCAATAAAAAGAATTAATTACTTACATTTAATTTTTTTTATTGATTTCGCATGTGTCCACTAAAAATATTTGTACCAACGTGGCAATACAATTTTCAGATTACTACTATACGACAAGTGGAAAATTGTATATAATAATAAAAACATAACGTATAGTTTTCGTTTGCATGTTGGCAACCAAGCTTTTTACAATGTAATGTTACTTTATTGAAACACAGAATGTGTGAGTAGATAATATTTTTATATCATATAGTTTATTTTTGAAGACAAATACTTAATCCTTTTATCACACTTCTGTAGTAACCTAATTATTGCTGGGTTCGATAAATAACTTGACATTGCTTTCTCAATCCGCAAGGTGCAAAATCAATAGCAGCAACATGGTCGACAAACCTTGTCATTTTCTAGTGAGTTTATTTCTACTGTTCTATTTACACACATAGTTAACCGAGCAAGTTAAAAAATGGTGGCAGAAATCTCTTGAAATCTCAAAAAAAAAAAAAGATACAAAAACCACCGTCACAACTAAAAAAGGGAATCGACCATAATAGGCATCTGTCACATATTTAAGAAAAAGCGATATGAACCGGGGAGGTGAAAGAAGAAGATATAGGAGTGTCGAAAAGTTAGACAAATTAGAAGCAGAAAAAAGTGTTTCCATTCGGTAAATTTTAGTTTGCTTATCCGCTGCAAAATTTAACAACACAAGAAACGTCAATGTATTAAAAGTTTATACCTAGGCATTTATTCTATGCAGCGGCCTCTAGTAGAGCAGAGCCAAATGTGATTTCGTTCAGGCGAAGAATTTTGTTTTGCCATATGCTTTTTTTTGTTGGTGGTCTATAGATGGTTGCTCAGAGAATAATGTTACTTTAGGAACTAAAATAAATGGAATTATCAATTTAAACCAGACGATTAACTGTTTTTCTTACTACACACTCGATCAGGAAAGACCCAAACAATATATATAAAATATTTTAAATCTGTTCTTCAGCGTCTATGAGGCAATCGATTCTGCTGAACTCGCTGGTCTTTATTAAACGATGGCAAATGATACACTTTAACTTCTTTTAGTTTTTCAATTTAATTACATCAAAAATGCTATTTAAATCAATACTTATAAACCATGCAACGCACGTTAAAGTATCGAGGTTGTGATTTTTTATTTCCGCATCGGTTGTGCGTATGAGGAAGTGCGTGGTCAACCTTTGGTCGGACATCATGATCTTGCATACCTATTAGAGTTCGTAAAATGTTATCAGCTTAATCAAAACCATCAACAAAATAAGGAAATGCCACTAATCTGCAAAATAATGACGTAAATCAGGTTTACTCCATGGACCTGAAATGATTTTTGTGGAATAATAGCCAAAACCTGCATATTTTCTCAGATTAAAATATATATCAAATAGGTTCTTATTATCCACTACAATTTCGTCGAAAATGTCATCAATATAAATTGATTTTGCAATGGCCATTTGAACTAGTGGAAATGATATACTGCTAATGATTTCAACTTAGCGAAGTTTTTGTGGTCTTGTGCCTATCTGCTATATTAACTCAGTTTTTGCTATAGTTTTATAACTTTCAATGATTAATCTATACACATTTAGAATCAATTTATAGGTGAACAAATCCTTGCTAATAAAAGTTATGATAATTTTCTTCCTCACCACTTCCGTGTCATTAGTTTTAAGAAGTAACTTCTTGCACTGGTAGTTGCTGCATTAATAACGAAATGGAAAGTAACATTTGTCAAATCAACTTAAATGAAAGGCTACTGCTTTTTTTGGAGAGACTAAGTACTTGCTAATAAGGGGGAGCTTTTATGTAAATTTTTGTTACCTGGGTAAGTTTGCAGTGTCATTGTACGCAAAACCAATTCTTATTTTTCACTCATGTCAGCAACCTTTCGGCTTCAGATATGTAATGATGCTACACTCACAAAATAATCGATTAAATATGTCTATCATTTTTTATTATATATAATTTGAAAATAATCTTATTTTCATTATTTGTAAAAGATTCAATTTTTTATTTTAAGTAATAAGTGCAAAAAAAATAATTAACAGTGGTAATTGGCACATAATTTTCAACCATTCCATAGCCAGCTTAGTTTTTACTGCAAACGAAAAGTTCTTAAAATTAATCAATAGTGAAAATATCAAGAAATGGCATAGTTTGCAGAGACTAAAAAAATAAAAGTGAACTTAAATAAATATTGGGAAAAACTTCTTGTATAGCTGCATTTCTCTCAAAACTAGATACCTTCAAACTAAAATATTTCTATTTTATGTTATTTTTCATTTCAGATGCGTTAATGAAATTAAAAATATTGCCAACATCCAGTTACGTAAAATACCAACCGATTTAATGATGTCAACGCCATTCTCCATAATGTATGTAGCTGTTAAAAGTTTATATTGTAGCTATTAAAAGAATTTTAAATCTTGCTGTGGCGAACACCAAAACCTATAATCTTTCGGGAGTCGCGGGCGTCGAGAAATATGAAAAAGAAGTGAATACATCCTTAAGGCATTCTAGGATATTGGCAAAAGATAATTTTATACGGGCATAGGGATCAGCAATGTGGTACAAAAATATTTTTCTACTCCCTATTCTCTAAAAACTAGTTTCTGGATGTTTTGTATAGATTATAGTAACTGTATTTGTAAGGAGACCCCGTATCATCTGCTCACCGAGTGCCCTGCCTTGACATGGGCAAGATTGGGAGTCTTCGGAACGGCCCTGATCGATCCGGACTCAGTGCACGGTATTTTGCTAAATGAGTTGCTGACCTTCTACAGGAGGGGCGGCATTCTGGACGCCCTCTAGAGCGGCCTGGGGGCACAACGGGCCCATCTGGTGCCCTAAGTGCTTGGACGCCTGCGAGGGCGCCCCCCTTTAATACCAATACCAATACCAATACCAACTGTATTTGTACAAAAGAAATGGTCACAGTAAATGAAAACTTCTTCGTCCATTAGTTTTATTAAACACTCGCTCCTCTTAGTTGCTTTCGATTCAAAACAAACTCGTGACTAAAGTGTCCCTTATCAAACTTGTTACATAATATACTATTCCAGCACCGCATCAGCTTCTCAAACTTGTTGCCAAAAGTTTAACCGATACGAGTGGTGATAAAAAAGAATTAATTCCACAGTGGATTTATAGTTTCTGTGATTACGTAACGGTAGAACCGGTACCGTTGTATTAATACTACAAATGCGTAAAATGGGTATCGAAGAAGTTCATTGCCTTCGGTACATCTACATAATATATCGATTAATGCCGTAAAAGTCTTTAGCGCGGCCTTTATTGGATGTATTTATTGCCTGATAGACGCTTTTTTTTATGGTACTCCATATACGAGGCGTTACTGTGTCGTAAGAATAATACGAGTAACAAAATCAACAATCCCGAATCATAAACATATTGCCAATGCTACTAAGGTGATAGAGAGACAAATTATAATGGACCTCATTGGTAATCTTTGACCTGATAACAATATGCTTTGACAGGTTTATCTAACCCAACATTAGTTTAATAGCTTTTCTCATGTTAGCTGTCAGATGTAAGATAAGAATGTCCTGAGGATTTATCTGCTTCCTAACAACCATATCATTTGGCCCATAAGAATACAGGTAAAAAAACTGTTTTACCACTGCCCAGTGTGGTTTATATCTGATCTAATAAAGGTATATTTTTCTGTGCTCTATAATAACTATAATCGGATATTAAAATAATCGTTAGAGGCCTATCTTCAGAACTATTGGAACCATATAAATATTTGGTAAATTATTTACATATACAACATAATAATGTACCGAATGTTACAAATTTACTTTTCACTATTGGGACCTGAGTAACTAAAAAATATGGAGTTGGGTAAATGGGATCAAAATTGCGGCACCTGGCTGACTATTTCTATGTGTAATTGGAAGTATTTAATCAAATTGAAGTTTAAGAATACGCTGAATTACTACCGACCCCGAAAGCCCGATGTGCACTTTTTTTTTTCAAATTAGTCAGTAACGCCAGACACTTTGGATTTTTTGAAGATATCGTGTAAGCTTCCAGTTATCGATTCCAAATTGGAGTGAATTTTATTAGCTGTACCAATAACTCCAGTCACGCGGATTGTTGACCAAAAAGGAAAATGAAATAGAGCTAGAAAACATCTCGAATCTGCTAGGATTAAATACAATTTTATTGAAAGTTAGTATTGACTATCCCCGTATAATAAAGTGGTATAATGTCATAAAGATAAAAATTTGGCAACTGTTTGTCCTCAGAGGTAGATAAGTAAGACACAGCCCCCTGGGGATTTTTATGCAAATGAATGAATGAAGATCTGCATTTTGCGACTAGTTCACAAGAGCCGTTTCTCGTAAAAGTATTCTTCAGACGTTTTATTGCAAATTGGCAATCGACGTTGCGAAGCCAGCTTTGCTTTGTGTTTTGATGGTCGAATAGTTGCGATTTCTTATTTTGCCGAGATTTTCTCTTGTGAATGGCAGTTAACATTTTCGAATACGATCAGGTCAAGGTACTGATTAAAATTCAGGCTGCGACCTACAGAGGATGGGCAAGGTACGATGATCCGCACGCACCCAATTTTCTTTGTTTTGTTTAAGTGTCCCGAGGAACACCTCGTTTTGCGGTACCAGTAAATTGGGTTCCTTTTTAAGCGATAAAATTCAACGTATTGTCGATAGTCAAAGAAAATGCAAGATAATTTCTAACTACTTTACAGTCTACGCATGTTCGTGACTAATGAACAGAGATTACACGTTCTAACGGAAGAGGCAATTTTCACAGATAACCGCGTTCCACAACGAAGAAAAGTGACGTGAAATCCTTGAAACAAATTGCTTTTTGCCCGTTTTTTCGTCGCACTTGTTTCATTTAACAATTTAAGGAAACTCTTTAGACGTTTAAACGACTTAAAGAAAATAATTGTATCATTATATGTCAGTGTTTCGCTTAAAGCTTTCATATTTACCAATTAAGCGTTAGATTAGGCG